ACCTAATTTATATATAATTAATATATAATTATATGTACAGTACCTAATTTATACCTAATTTATATATAATACTAAACAGACGATAGCAAACTCAATTTAGCCGCTCCGTAGCGTGGCGCAGGGTCGGAGGTAAGTAGTTCGGCTGCTCATCCACTATTGGTCCAGACTCTATCAATCTTGTCGCGAAACGACGTTATAGGAGGTACGTTATACCAAAGTTTCTACAATTTTTTCGCTACGTTATAGAAATTGTCGTTATAGGAACGTACGTTATAGGGGGGTCAACTGTATTGCTTTTCTTGCTTCCTTCTTTTTAAGGATGGTGCATACTGTCAACTTTGTCAACTTAAACATAGTCATCAGATCTGCCACATATGCTTCACTTTAGTTCTTTGCAATAATTTCCTTTTTTACCTCAATTATCAATACAACAATATTCCTCTTAGGCTTCATTACTTCCATACTCTTGAATAATAATGGTTAATAGGTAGGGATTATATATATATATAACCAAACACTCCAAAAATAAAGCAAAAAAGTACTGAAAACACAAGTGTAATGCAAGAAATGACTTATGCACACAACAGATGGTGTTTATTCAGTGAGTATATTTTTCCAGTACATGAACTGTTTGAACATAAAAACATCATTTATCATTCAAACAGCCAAATTTTTCTCAAATTTAAAGTTTGAACATTAGAAAATTCAAAGTTGTTCAAAGTAAGAGGTACACTGTATTTGGAAAATAAAAATATTTTTGGCTTTGATTTATATGCAATTTGGTTCACCAATTGAAAAGTTTGGTCACCACTGGAAGGCTGAAATGTAACCACTATGTCTGTCACTCTTATGAATATGTTTGTGCTAGAATATATAAATTCAATAACATAAAATAGTTTCCTTTTTTTTTCTCAAAACTGCTTACGATTGAGGATTTTTGTGTAAGTTTAATTTCATTTGAACTTTTATTTTAAACATGAAATATTTAAAAGTTAGTCATTTTATTGCATTTCCTTGTTAGTTTTCTTATCATATTTATATATGATCATATAAAATCTTGTCTCATTTTCTAATACTTTATCTTACTTTATCCTATCTAAATTAACTCATTGTGGAATATTGTTTTAATTTATTATATAAATTCTTATTTTATATTTTAATCTACAAGGTGACGTAAACAAATAAATGACATTTTAAAACACTTAGCTACTTATAAAACCCATTAATTTAAAACATAACTGCTAATACATTATTGCTATTAAAATCATGTCAGAAATATAAAAATTTTAGTTATCAATTATAAAATTATTTTATGAAATAGTTATTTAATAAGTTTTCTGTTTGTTTGAATTATTGCTGGTATTTTACGATTAATTAATTCTTTAAATAGCATCTATAATTAATTGTAAAATTTATCTCATTCTAAATATTAACTTTNCCACTATTGGTCCAGACTCTATCAATCTTGTCGCGAAACGACGTTATAGGAGGTACGTTATACCAAAGTTTCTACAATTTTTTCGCTACGTTATAGAAATTGTCGTTATAGGAACGTACGTTATAGGGGGGTCAACTGTATTGCTTTTCTTGCTTCCTTCTTTTTAAGGATGGTGCATACTGTCAACTTTGTCAACTTAAACATAGTCATCAGATCTGCCACATATGCTTCACTTTAGTTCTTTGCAATAATTTCCTTTTTTACCTCAATTATCAATACAACAATATTCCTCTTAGGCTTCATTACTTCCATACTCTTGAATAATAATGGTTAATAGGTAGGGATTATATATATATATAACCAAACACTCCAAAAATAAAGCAAAAAAGTACTGAAAACACAAGTGTAATGCAAGAAATGACTTATGCACACAACAGATGGTGTTTATTCAGTGAGTATATTTTTCCAGTACATGAACTGTTTGAACATAAAAACATCATTTATCATTCAAACAGCCAAATTTTTCTCAAATTTAAAGTTTGAACATTAGAAAATTCAAAGTTGTTCAAAGTAAGAGGTACACTGTATTTGGAAAATAAAAATATTTTTGGCTTTGATTTATATGCAATTTGGTTCACCAATTGAAAAGTTTGGTCACCACTGGAAGGCTGAAATGTAACCACTATGTCTGTCACTCTTATGAATATGTTTGTGCTAGAATATATAAATTCAATAACATAAAATAGTTTCCTTTTTTTTTCTCAAAACTGCTTACGATTGAGGATTTTTGTGTAAGTTTAATTTCATTTGAACTTTTATTTTAAACATGAAATATTTAAAAGTTAGTCATTTTATTGCATTTCCTTGTTAGTTTTCTTATCATATTTATATATGATCATATAAAATCTTGTCTCATTTTCTAATACTTTATCTTACTTTATCCTATCTAAATTAACTCATTGTGGAATATTGTTTTAATTTATTATATAAATTCTTATTTTATATTTTAATCTACAAGGTGACGTAAACAAATAAATGACATTTTAAAACACTTAGCTACTTATAAAACCCATTAATTTAAAACATAACTGCTAATACATTATTGCTATTAAAATCATGTCAGAAATATAAAAATTTTAGTTATCAATTATAAAATTATTTTATGAAATAGTTATTTAATAAGTTTTCTGTTTGTTTGAATTATTGCTGGTATTTTACGATTAATTAATTCTTTAAATAGCATCTATAATTAATTGTAAAATTTATCTCATTCTAAATATTAACTTTCCCTTATCTTTGTCAGATGATTTATTAACTTTACATTGCAAATAAAATTATCTTCCAAGAAATGATTTTGAGGATTTGTTAATTGACTGATTGTCTTGTTTTTAATATACTGTTGTTTGTAGTAGAAAATTTTGAAAATTAGGAGTTGAGTTTCATATTGTTTGACAATATTATGTTAATAGGATGTAGTTAGTCTTATTTCAACACATCTTTGGCATCAGTTGTACTAAATCTATTAAAATTAGATTATTCTTGTATTGTTTGTTAGCATTTGAAATTTTTCTTTTTAAATGCAGTTAACAAATTAGAGTAATTAAGATTTATATGTTAATGTCTTTGAGACTATGTAAACACATCTTGCAAATTAAGCAAATTATTCTTTAAGAAATACATTAAAATTTCGAGAATATATTTTTGAAATTAATAAGTAGTTATCAGCATAGGTAATTTTTTGGCTTATTTTTTTACTTGGAATTACAAGCAAGAGAGATTTTTATAATTTATATGAATTTTATACAATTAAAGAAAATTTGTAACCAAAATTTACCTACATCAAGAGAAAAAATGTTTGTAAATTTCAAAAAATTCCTATGAATACAATGAAAAAACTACAATATAATAATTAAATACCCTCATTGTGATTTGATTTTTTGAGTTAGCAATCAGTTTTTTCCCTCTGTCATGAACATTAGTACAATATTTTAATTTTTAAGCATATAACAAGATTTATTTTGTTGTTATTGCTTTTATGATAAGAATGTGCTATTTCAAAATTGCACAAAATAAGATTACATAAATTACAATTGCATTTCATGTATTTACAAATTTATTTAAAATAAATGAAAAATTAATTAATTTCTTTTATCAAAACAATTTATTTTTAGGTGCCATTTGTGTTTGTTGGTACTGTGGAAAGTATATCCAATGCCAAAATACTTCTGGAGTATCATCTAGCTCATTTAAAGGTAAAATTTTATGTACATTTTTATAATTGGGTGCTTACTTAATGGCTATATGGCATAGAAACAAATGTTAACATTAATGTATGTTATAATGACTATATTTTGAATAGATATAAATTCAAATAGAGAGTATCTTTCAAAATATAATTTGAAAATGTTTTCACATTAAATTATTATATTTATATAAAAAATAATTAAGATTATAATTTTATTAGTATAGTAGAATTCTTTGATTAATTTCTCAGGCTACATCCTAGTTCTAACTGAAATAATCTCTTTACACAAATGGAGATTGATTCTTATTAAGTTATTTTTAACCTTAAATAAATAGAATGTTGTATGGTATGTGTAGTTTACAAGTAATATTTAATGTATGATTAATAGAGAGGTTGAGGCTGTCGTATTCAGCCCAAAACATGAATGGCAGACGGTCGAATGCTGCCATCTGGCAATTCTAGACAGTCGATAATGGCATTTGCTATGTCTAGCATGGCAAGTAGAAGATTGGTTTAAACTTCGTTTTTTTTTGTGTTTGGAGTTAAAATTATGACCTATTTTATTAAAATAATGATTATTTAAGCATTTACGAATAATACTGTAAAGAAACAGACGATTTTAATCCAGAAATTATTTAATTATTCAATTTTTTAGCAAGTGATCCGAGGTGCGTATAGAATTTACAATATAGTTGCCTTCATAATAGCTTATCTTAAGATAGGTTTGTTCTTCCACGGCATCCTCTACCATCAATAGCGTAATATGTGTGTAAATTTTCTAAAAATTAAATTTCCAAGCTGCTTTCGAATTTACATAAGCCACTACTTTCCTCGACAACGGTATGAGGTAGTCCTATTGTACGGTAGGAGACACAATGCTAATTAAAAATAATTAGTGTTATTAAACATCCTATAAATATTTTTAAATAGTTTAATTTGTATCTGTCATTTTTTCAACAAATTTCCTGAGAGTCAATGTGTGACGTTCACTGAGTCACATGTTATAAACATGCACTGCAATGATTTTTTCTTGGAGTTAAAACATAAGCTGTGTACTTCTGCTTGCCATGTACAAGTAACGTTTGAACTTGCACTACAACCTCTCTAATACAATGATAACTTATTAATTGGATATGAATATTGAATATCATCATAAATAAAATCTACATTTAAAGATGGAAGACTAGGTTATGGATCTTCTTCATATTTCAATTAATTCTTGATGCTGACCAAACATCTTTAAAACTTTATTTGAAATTATTACAATAATTAAAAGAAAAAGATGGCTCCACTTGATTGTTAGTCTGATGTCATGTTTTTCATTTCAAAAGAAATTGTTAGAAACATTATTGTTTTAAAAAACAGTAATGAAAATTAACAGAATGATTACATGTTCCAAGAGGACTAAACATTTTCGTTGGCATCTAATATTTTCATCACTGTTAATTTGTTGATGCAAACTTTTATTATGCTAGGCTCTTGCTAATCCATCCATTCATTGCACAGCTGGTGCCAGATTAGCAACTGTGCTGGATTACTGAGTATATAGTCCTAAAACCAATAAGTGGCATGACTTGTTGCTCTTTGGTCCTAAGTCTTTTTGAAGAGCTATACTGTTTGTTATTGTGAAATTACGTACTGTGATACAGTAATTGTAAGTTTAATTTTTTAATAACAATAATGTGCAAAACTTAGACAGAAATGAAACCCAAGTAAACAGAAAACCAGGATTTGAGGTATAACTAATGGAAGTGCATAGGCAGTTACAGCAGTGTATGCCAAATAATTGAGAGGCTGGATTAACAAGAGTGTACTATATGAATTACTACAACATTTACTGTTCAGAGCAATTCTGCTTAGTTACACCATTGAATATTGTCAATATAATTAGTATGACATTGTTTAGCTTTCTTAGCTTTCAGTCCTCTTTCTGTTTTAATGAAAGTATCATAAAAATTAAGGAAATTGAATGACACAATCTATATGAAAGATAAATCATTAAGTATGCTGTTTGTTACTTAATATAAATTGGAAAATGAAAGTTATCAATAAACAGTTGTTGAATTTCTCTTAGAATTACTTTAGTATATGATCATTGTCATCATTAATATTGTCAAGATTTAATATTAAAGAAAATTTGTATTGAATTATAGTGATGTATGTAAGGAAAAATTTAGAATTCTACAAAAGTTTAACTTTTTAAATATATTTTATTTGGTATGTTTAAATTTGGTACCAACACTAAGTATTATCTATAGCTTCACTAGGAATATCACTTAAACCATATCATTTGTATATTTGGAGAAGTAAGATACAAGTTTTATGATAATGGTGTTACAAAATGAAAAAAAACTGTTTCAAATCAAGAATACTTATGATCAAGAATTTTGAAAAATGATAAATATGATTGTTGTAAGATATTTATGCATAATCAGAATTTTGGAATCTTTAACTCATTTGCTACATTTGTTTCAATCTGAATGCCACTCAGAAATCCACAAAAAATTATGTTTTCTATGAAATAATTATTTCCACTTTAAACGCGAATCTAACATCCAAAACAAAATTGCCGGGAAATAATTCCTGTAAAATAAAAACTCCTCCAAAAACTGTTTTTAGAAAAAAAGTATATAAAGAAAAAATAAAATAATTTAAAATAAATGCTTTTATTTGAAAAATATAGATGCAAGGATTGTTATTCATTTATTTAACAAGGCATAAAATTTCACACATACAGTCTACATTGTTTACAAACTTGTTGATTTTGAGAACAGCTGGTGTCAGCTTTCCTGGCTAGTTCTCATGTACTGTACATCTCGGGAATATTGGTTTGAAGCAGGAGGGGAGCTAACTTACCTCATCTGTTCAAATATAACACAATATTTTCGATTTTTATGCTATTAAAATATGGGAAAACCGAAAAAAGGTATGGGAAAAAGTTCTACTAAATAAACAACAAAAAAACCTGCTTATGTCATAGAAAACATCCAATAGTGTTTTAAAAAATTTTACCAAAGTCAAAATGGTCAAATAGAAGTTTGGAACGATTTAATTAATTTGATAAAAAAAAAAACTCTCATAAAAACAATAGCGCAATTAATTACCTAATTAATAAATTGTCATAAAATATTTTTGTGGCAAAAATAATACATGAAATTTGCAGAGATCATAGATAACAATGTATATATGCTGATCCCTACATTTTTGGAAAAGTTATAAGTCAAGGCCCTTTTTTATGAGGCCCTTAAAGCCTATGCCCGAGATAACTCGGGTTATGGACTGCACAGCGTCACGCGCAGCCTAAGTTATATTGGGTTAAAAATTGCAGCTCAGCATTGTGACAATGTCACCATAAATAATTGCTTATTCTCTGTTAAATTTTTGTTAGGCTGAATTAAAATTAATATGAATCTGCGAAAGGAATTCAATGTTAATATTGATAAGTTCTTAACAAATTGAAATTTTTCAGTTATAAAAGTGTTCATATTAAGTAATCATTTTAATTATTTATATAAACATATTTTGTTTATATTATAGTATATATTTCTTATAACTGCATATGTATAGTTTTAGACTTAGAATTCATCTTAGTTATTTAGTTGTAGTTTTTATGAAAAGTCTTATCAGTAGAACTGCATCAAAAAATATAATATACAATTATCCAGTTAGTGATAATTTATATTGGAAGATTTAAATATTTTAGGTTTTGTAATTTATTTTTAAATTTGAAACAAAAAAAAATAACATTATTTTACAGTTATATAGCTACAACCAACAGACTGCCGAAAATCTATCGGGCTAGTTTTATGCTACTTATTAGATAAATTATAAATTAGATAATTATTAGATAAATAACTAGCCCGATAGATTTTCGGCAGTCTGTTGGTTGTAGCTATAATTATATATCGGGTTGGAGATGTTTGTATTTACAGTTATATTTTGTCAGTATTATATATAATTGAAATTTAATAGTAGAATAGTAGTAATAATGAAAATGTTTTGTAGGAAGTGGAAAAACTTCGACAAGAAAAACTGGAAATTGATCTTCAACTAAGGACACAAATGGGATCTACTCAGAATTTTCCAGTACCTCGGCGAAGTGGTCCAGAGAGAAATTTTAACTCTGATTTTGAAGGAAGTCATCGAGGTCGTGGAATGGGTGGTCCACCTCGAGGTCGAGGACGTGGTGGTGGACCTGGAATGGGTCCCGGACGTCGATGGGGTGGTGATAACCGCTACAACAGTAACACTAGTAACCATCCTCATACTCTTAGTGATTATATTCCTAATGTGGATAAACAGTTTAATTCTGGGCAACAACCTCAACGTGTTAATTCTGCAGGCAATTTGCGAGGTAGGGATAGGATTGGTGGTGGAAGAAATATTTTAAACAGAAAATAGACATTACCAAAATAATCTGCAAATATAAAGTTTTGTTCTTAAATGCATTTTGCTTATTATGCAGTTTGTATTTAAAATACTACAGCCTTAATTTTATAACTGTTTTTCATTTAAGTTTCTTTTAAACAATACACTATTATTTTATAAAAACTTTATTATTTAATACAAAACTATTTTGTAAAGATTAGATTACTTGAGGTATAACTAATGGAAGTGCATAGGCAGTTACAGCAGTGTATGCCAGATAATTGAGAGGCTGGATTAACAAGAGTGTACTATATGAATTACTACAACATTTACTGTTCAGAGCAATTCTGCTTAGTTACACCATTGAATATTGTCAATATAATTAGTATGACATTGTTTAGCTTTCTTAGCTTTCAGTCCTCTTTCTGTTTTAATGAAAGTATCATAAAAATTAAGGAAATTGAATGACACAATCTATATGAAAGATAAATCATTAAGTATGCTGTTTGTTACTTAATATAAATTGGAANGGTGGAAGAAATATATTAAACAGAAAATAGACATTACCAAAATAATCTGCAAATATAAAGTTTTGTTCTTAAATGCATTTTGCTTATTATGCAGTTTGTATTTAAAATACTACAGCCTTAATTTTATAACTGTTTTTCATTTAAGTTTCTTTTAAACAATACACTATTATTTTATAAAAACTTTATTATTTAATACAAAACTATTTTGTAAAGATTAGATTACTTATGTTTGCTTGTAAAATTGTTTCACCTGCTTTTCTGAATAATTACTAATCTCCACCTGCATTTTACATTTTTTAATTTAATAGTATCATAATTTTATCATAACTCATAAAATTATAATTTTATTTACAATAAAAATCAATTATTAATAATTCTTATGAAGAACAAGTTATAAGCTGTTTTATTTTAACTGAAAAAAATTTAATTCTGTAGTAAAAATATATAGAATGGTTGTGATTTAAATCTAAGTTTCTAGTCTTCCATAAAAGTGAATGAAGTTTTTACTTTTATGGTAAAAAATAAAATATTAATATTTTTTTCCTCTGTAAAATTTAATTAGTATTCCATTTTTTTGTGATTTTTCATGCATTTTTACTATAATTTATTTTCATTTTTATGTTACATTAAATTCCAGCGAAAGCAAAATTGAAATTATCTATACAAATAATAGATTGTAATCTGTGATATATCTTAGTCATATAGAAAATTACCATTTTTATCTATTTTTAACTTTTGTCATGTTAAAACTCATATGATAGCTATGTTTTGTTATTTTAAAGCAATTTTTCATCATACTTGTATCTTATTGAAAGTACAAATTTTGTTGCAGCTTTTGTCTGATTATGTACTGTATCAATTTTGCATTGTGTTGCATTCATTATAATATGACTCTTATTTTATTTAAGATATTGTCATAAAATAACTGGTAATGTTTTAACAAAAGAAAGTTTTTGTCACTAACATGGCCTGTTGAATGTACCAGATTAATGATAACTAACTAACTAGTCTTAATCATTGCCAAATTGAGGGCTTAGTTGTTATCATCCAAAAAAAATCCTATAGTTAAAGTTTTTAATCAAGATCTGCTCTAAAATAAGAATAGAGCAGATATGAAAGGGTCAGCAAATAACACTGTTTAATGTACAGTAAATTATATTTGAAAAACCTGAGCTTGTCATTTTATAGATCCTCATAATTTTTCCAAATATCTATTTTTTTTATATTGAGGTGTTTTCCCTCATGTTGTAATAAAGCTGCAATATTTATAATGTGTGAACGTGTGCTTTTTTTATGGTTTTTGTCTTTTACAGATTTTTATGCCAAATTCTTTTTTTGACCCTTTCATCCCTGCTTTATCTTTAATTTAGCTTTTATTTAATTTAAAGTAATTTAGAATAGCTAATTTAAATTTGCTTTATGCGAAATTACTTTTGCTAATTTTAATAATTGATTTCCACAATATTCAAAATTTACAAAACATGTTCTAAAATACTAATAACAGGGCTGAAAGGGTCCTCAAAGTAGAAGATGATATGATTTAAAATTTAATTTGAAATTTTGAAAAAATATATAAAAAAACAAATGACCTTTATTGCTAGTCTCCATATAAGGAACTTCATAATCAGGTAAGCTATTTCTTTCAGCCCTGTTATTTATTGAGAACATCAGAATAAAATTTAATAACTACATGTTAATATTTAATTTATTTCAAGTCTCTATTAATTGGTACTTATTAAAAAATTATTAAAGGAAAATTCAAAAATTTTAAATTGGAAATTTAAATCATACTTTTTATTATGATGAATACTTATTAATAGAGCCTTAGTGTAAAAAGACTCACCAATTTTAAAGTAACTGATATGCAATGAAATTAATGTTTTTCATATTCAATATCATCATTGAATATAGTTTTTTTTTTTATTTTTGTAATGTTTAATTTTTATGTAGTAAAACTGGTTTGAATTCTCCTGAGCATAAAAATTTCATTTTGAATCATTTTACTATTATATCTGCATTATGTAATCAAAAACATCTTGTTTTTTGTTCAATAGTATTTCAGTGTTCAGTAGTTTAAACTATTTTTATTCTGATAAATAGATTGAGTTAAACAGTAATAGTTAAATTACAGATAATTATTATTATTTGATTTATTAATTTATTAATGTGTTACATTTTATTCAACTGAATTGTTAAATATTAAGAATTTAAAATATTTTTTTTGCAGTTTTGAATAAAAGAGAGGATGTAGTATATGTGTATATATATGTATATATTAAATGATTGTAATTAAAGTACATCTACTTCATACTTTGTAGAGAGAAAAATGCAACCAAATCTGGTTTAGTATCATTTTATAACACACATCTTTGTGTTTGATTAATGTACAGTAGAGTCTCATTTTAACAGATTGCAGATTAATGGATTTTTTTCAGGTCCTGTCAAATCAATGTAATTTTACCTTCTTTTAGTGGATCTATCAGCAGGTTGATAAGATTGAGAAGGAACCACCTAGTGAGCATTCTGATGCTTGTCCAAGTGTAGTGCTGAAATTTAGCAAGACCAACAAGTCCTTCCAAGTCATGAAGACCTTCCTGATGAGTTTCAGCATAACAAACAGGCTGTACCTGACATTGCTAGTATCAAGTCATTGTTGTGCAGTTATAGCTAAGTTTTTGTCAATAATCTGTCCAAAAACAATCCAGCCAAATCCGAAATCAACAAAAATTGAGGCAATTATTTCCATATGAATCCATTTAAATCCAATTACTTTGTTCTAGACACTCCAAAATACAATATGGGAAATACATTTTATAGAGAATAAATATGGCATTTAATAGTAAAAACAATAAGAAATTAATATTAAATGAATATAAAAGATTAATGTGATGGGCTTCGAAACAGAATCGCCATCTAACTGTTTTTGATTGATCAAAATTAATAATAGCTGTTTAACATCTTCAGTTGTTTGCGATTTCTGTTTCATTAGCACATTCATGCCTTTCACTACATTAGCCTCCTTTATTGCTTCCTTTTTGCCATAATGTAACTTATCATGGATGACGACTTCCCGTACGTGCAGCTGATTTCAGCAATCTTAATGCTGCTCTCGTATTTTTCAATGATTTCCTTCGAATCAATCATGTCCCTGGCCTTCTTCGAAGGGCTGCTGGCTTTGGAAACTTACTTTCTTTGTTTCCATGGTGAAGTTAAAAGGAACGGAAATCAATGAAATTGTTTGGCTAGATGCATGGGGTGTGTCACACAATGCCATACTAAGCAGGAAAACGTGTGGGTCACTCTTTGTTTTTGCAAAATTAGAAGCGAGGTCATGTAGGCATGCTGATGGAATCCAAGGCAACCAACGAAAATTCATAAAACTGAGGTATTACTGTATTTAATAGACAGAAAAGTGGCATCAAAACAAACGAAGATGGATAAGTTTTTTAACAAATTGCAAAGTCAAATGAAACACTAATAAGCATATGTAATTTGCTTCCTTTTGTGTTTACAGTATATACACTTTCTGTCAGCTTTGTTGTACACGTGTACAGCGTAATATACAATCTTTTAACATGGGTGTTTTTATAGAATGAAGAAAGGAGATCTCAAGAGATTATAATTTCAAGTATTGGTATTTATTATATGTAGATGGTTTTAAAAAAAAAAACGGAAATTTTTTCAAATAATGGATATTTTCCTGGGTATGCAGGAAATCTGTTGTTTACAATATAAGAGATGCTCAGAACAATGGATGATTTTCAGCAGCCCAAGCAATCCATTAAATGAGATTCTACTGTATTTACTTTCAGAAAAAATCCCATTGCAAATATTCATTAATTTATTGTTCATTTTTTGCATGATAAATAATCTGCTTCACAGTAGATACTAACAAGAAGTTTCTTATTCAGCTGTTTTGCTTCACTTTTTAAAATTTTCAGATTTTTTTTATTCATTTTATGGATGTATTACATTAATGTCTTATTTATATCCTAATTTATTATAATAATTTTTATTTAATTATAGTATATGTAATTAAATATAAAAAATATAAGGAATAATAAAGTTAGTATCATTTTTAAAAAAAGTTAATTTTATAGTGTGATTATTTTTTCTATAAAAGTTGAAATATCTTAAATACTATTTTAATTACAACTCTGAAATTTTAAAGTTTTTGATCTGGTTAATTTTCATGTTGCCAATGAAATGATTTCTTTTAAAACTTTTATTAATAAGTGAAATATAAGATCATATTTTAATTATTTAAAATAATAATAATTTGTTTAGTTTCAGATCTTCCACCTCGTCAGAGAGGCAGAAATGATCGCCGTCGTGTCACAGATGAAGATGAATCTGTGCTTGACAGTCATGAGGTCTCGAGTGTAGCTAGTATGGATCAAGGTAAAAAAAACATTTTTTAATATACTTTTAAATATAAATGTTGTATGTAAATAATTATTTTATTCATATTATAAACTGTTTAAATCAGAAGTGAGAAGTGTCAAACTCAAATGCTTAAGTGCCAAATTTTTGTCTTGAGTATGACAGCAGGCCAGATGTTTTTAGCTTTTGTAGCCAAAAAATTTCTAAAAAATAGCTCAAAAGTAGCCTACTCAAAAATTCCTTTTAATAACCCGAGATTTCACAATAAAATAAAAGAAAACATCATTTGTACTTTTCCAGCAATAACTTTAATCACAGAACAAACATTTTCAGCCAATTTACAAGCCTGGACCAGATCTGTAAACTGATCCGGAAATAAGGATCACAGGACTCAAAATACAAGCATAAGCTGTAATTTACTAATATGCCGAAAACATGCATTTTATATGAAAAATAGTGAGAATTATGCAATAAATGATCTTGCTAAGATGGATTTTAATTTGAAATTCAAAAGATGAAATAGAGAAAACGTAATATAAACAAAAAATTAAACACAAAAATAAATAAAATAAAAATAAATATCTCTAAGTAATACAAATAAATAAAATCAAAAACAATAATAATAATTGATGTAGAAGATGTGGTTGCTGTATCTTCAAATTCTGTGTGTAGTGTCTTTGTAATCCAAACATTAATTTTGGTAGACGATCAAACAGCAATTAGTTAGGAAAACGTTACGTTTTATTTAAAAGAACACTTTTTTAAATAAACTGTAACGTTTTCCTAACTAATTGCTGTTTGATCGTCTACCAAAATTAATGTTTGGATTACAAAGACGCTACACACAGAATTTGAAGATACAGCAACCACATCTTCTACATCAATTATTATTATTGTTTTTGATTTTATTTATTTGTATTACTTAGAGATATTTATTTTTATTTTATTTATTTTTGTGTTTAATTTTTTGTTTATATTACGTTTTCTCTATTTCATCTTTTGAATTTCAAATTAAAATCCANGTCTTAAGACAGGCATTACATTTAAACTAGGCATGGTACATATTCTGAATAAATACAGAATAAACTTAAAATTTAATTTCTCGTAGTTATTCTTAATTTATGATGAAATATATTTTTAAACAGTGCAAATCATGATACTTTCACATTTGTGGATTTTTAAAATTTTTACATTAATTAAATTATACCAAATTGAGGATGATCAGTTTATGATAAAACACTTTTGGTTCAAAAACTTCATAATCTATTAAATTTAGTAATTAGAATCAAAGTATTTCTTACAATTTTATCAAGAGATAATGCATATACAAAAATGTGGGGAAATGAAATAAATCTGTTTATCAAGAGTGTCTGAAGTGAGATAATTTCAACTTTTTTAAAATTAATTTTTTCCTACAAAATCAAGTTGTAGAAAATTCACAATTTTATTTTTTGTTAGATATCTAATTCAGTTTTTTAATAGCTCTGCTCTGTTGCATTTTAACAGAAGTTTCGTTTACATAAATTATTAAATGTGTTGAAATATTTTCCCCCAGAATTTTTTCTTGTCATGCAAGGAATGATTATTTAATTTGTAGAATTGTTTCCATACAAATTTCTGCAAAATGTATTAGTTGTACTCTTTCTAAAGCTTTGTGACCAGCTTCAATAGATGTTGATTACGTCCTATCAGTCTCAAGTTTCTTTGTATGTCTTCATTTAATCGTCTATTATTGATGATGCTTTTGAGACCTATTATTGAATTCACAGGTCTGCAATTTGTTATTGTCAGTTGTGGTTTAAGTGCTTTTGAAACACAAAGAAATGAATGAGACTTACAGTGATGGATGTCTCAAGAAAACTTCAGTATTCAAATTAGTGATGTGACGACACCAAAATTTTTTCCGATTCCAATTCTGCCGAAAACTCCCAATTTCATTTCTGATTCTTTTGAATACAGTACTTTCTAAAGATTATTAAGATCTTTCCTGGGACTACTTTAATTATGTACATTTGAAAGGCACACTTTTAGACTATTTTTCATTATACTCATTGTTCAAATTGAAGCACTTATCATAACTGTGCACCAGCTTTTTAATTCCATTGTCATAGAATTTTGCCGTCTGAGACTTCAAACCACTCATTCACACTCTGCATCATCATCAGAGTGCTACATTGTGACCCATAATTTCATGCATGGAAACAAATTTTACTCACTTGTGCAAGATCTGGACTGTATGGTGGATGAACAAACCGATCCGAAACCATCAAGGGATGTCGAGTTCGATTGGCCATGTGCAGATGGGCATTGACATGAACAAAATCTTAGAACTTGATTTTCCCTGATGTTTGTTTTGAATCACTCTTCTTAACTTTTTTAATGTTTTACAATATCTTTTAGAGTTTATTGTTTGAGCCAGATTTGAGGAAATCCATCAGAAGCACATTCTTCCTGGCCCAAGAAACGGTCACTATGAACTTTCTTGCTGACATTTGCAAACATTTCCTTGGTTTTGTGGGAGAACTTGTGTGTCCCCACTCCATACACTGATTTTTTTTTTGGTCTCATAATTCATGTATTTTATCCTAATGTTAACCCCAGTTATGACAAGATCGAGAAGTGAGTCACCATCTCTGTGGTAGGCTTCCAGAAATGTCAATGATGTCACCATGTGCTGTTTTTTGTGATCATCTGACAAGATTTTCAGTATCCGTTTGGCACAAAATTTATGGTAGCCTAGCTTGTGTGTTACAACCTCATGCAACAAACTCCATGAGGACTGGATGGCCGCGTGGTCAATGTGGCAGCCTATTGCTCTGGAGGACCCAGGATCAAATTCAAACAGGTCAAAAAATTCCTGGGGATTTTTTGAGGGGGTGGTCCATTTAGATATGTTAGGCCATGACCCTCACCACTCGCCTGCCCCATTGTGGGCCTGGTCAAACCCATAATGTGCTTGATAAATGAGGCCCTCTTAGTGCCCACAGGGTGGAAAGAGTTTAAAAAAAAACTCAGCGAAATTTGTGAAAACTCAAAAGAGAGCTCCATAATTGTGAAGTGGCAGTTTTCACATATTTTTCCATTGATTTTCATCACCAGTTCATCAGTCATCATGCTCAGTCGGTCACTTCACTTCACATACACTTCACAAAGCTGTCTATGAATTTCAATTGGTTTGTGGTTTTTTGCCAACAAAAGCTTACTCACTGGCCACACTTCACACGTTCAATTGCAGCACACATTTTAAAAATTTACAATGGACAAAGCAGAAGCAACACAATCCACATGCTAACACAGTTGAACATGTAATGAGTGAGGGTATGCTCTGACACCAAAATGACAGCTCTAGCCCAAACCCCACACCCCTAGTGGCCAAAACATAAGTTACTTTTTGGATTGCCTGTGTATTTTGCTTCTCTGCTTTACTCCTTTTTCAGACAGCTGCAATATCACTATTAGCCTTCTTTTGATGGGGGATGAGGTGTACAATATTAGCTGATACCAAAGTCATAATATTCAAAGAGATTATTATGAGTTCATGTTTGTGGGAATAAAATAAGGAATCTGATTTTCTGACATTTTTTGCAATATGAAATAATTTTTTAATCTTTTATGAGGGGTGTCCAGAAAGTAAAGCACATTTGGCTATAAAAAAGGAAAAAAAACAGTAATAATAGGAAAAAAGTTTTATTAAGTAATTAGTACAAGACCAGTTACAACATAGTCACCGTCTCAGTTAAAGCACTTGTCATGGCACAACACTTGTTTTTTGATTCCTTTGTCATAGACTTCTACCTCTATCTCTAGTTCCTTCAGTCAGTTAGTGACAGCTTCTTTCACCTCTCATCTGTTCCAAAATGTTCCAAATTTATCCAAAAACACTTTCAGCTTTGGAAAGAAGTGAAAGTCACTCGGATCAGTCGGGACTGTATGTTTGGTGATCGAAAATGTCCCAGCCAAATTTCTGAAGCACAGCTCGAGTGACTGCAGTAGAGTATGGTTTTGCATTATCTTCCTTGATTAAACATTAAACATAATTTTCTCACACTTACTTCGTTCATAATGTGATCACCATACACTTCTGTGATTTGTTTATGAATTTCTATTGGAAAAACTTTATTTGCATTTAGAAAATGAATAACACTTTGCATTTGATGGAATTTTTAATTTTTGTACATATTTTAGCCTTTGACAAAATAGTAACAATAAGCCTGCCATTATCGAAACTCTATTTGGCTTAAGCTAGCACATTAGAGAACAAATTGACCTTAAATTCGATGGTGGTAATTTACTTGCGCAGATTGCTATGTGCAAATGTTCTTTATTTTCTGGATGCATCTCATATTTTAAGTTTTGCAACAAAATTTAAAGTTTTTTCTTCTGTATAGAGAAATAGCAAAACTATGTTATACATTAATTTTCATGCCAAAAAGAAACCTTCCATTAAGGGACCAACTTTTTCTTCTCATTTTCAATGATCTAGACACGTTGCATTCTAAATTGAATAGTATTTCTAAAGACTTAAAATAATGATTCATTTGTGCATTGGGATGAAATTTGGTTAATATATGAAAAGGAAGATTCAATGAACTTATAAATAATGAAACAAATATATTTATGTAAGCAGTTCAGATAATGCAATAAACAAAAAGATCAAAATGAAATGTTTGAAAGGCTTTAATTAAAAAAGAAAAGGTGAAGCAAAGAAGAAGAGTAAATATGAAATAGTTTTGAAAAGATTACATGCATAGCTAAATACCACTATTTTTATAGAATTTTAGGTCATTTGTGTGGTACTGTTCAAGACTGTTACATAATATTGGAGTTTTAATAGAATAAATAATTGTAAATAGCATAATGGAGTGTAACATATGTAGGTTTAAAGATGAGAAGGCAATGCTTTTCAAAAACATTTCAACAAAAGAAAAGTGCCTCTGATTGAAAGTTTGCTTTTGGTATAAAAAGTAGTAGTCACTTTTGTCACTTTAAAAAATCAATAGATTAATTTTATTACATAGTTTTATTAGTAATCTAATTTAGTTTTTTTAATATAAATAATAAAGCTTTGCTTTAATTTTTTTAATTTCAGAAAGTGTTTCGTCCGTAGAGGGATCTAGAAACAGACGTAGACGAAGAAAGAGACGTAGTAGATATCAAGGAGACAATTCTTCCGGCGATTACCAACGGCCAGTAGATCGACGTTACTCCGAACCTAGAGATATAGGAAGGAATGCTTCTGGAGAATGTGCTGGAATTAGAAACGGAATCGGAAACGGAAGTACTAATGGAGAAGGATCTAAAGAAGTCCAGAGTAATGGTTCGTCTCCTCCAAAACAACAGAGAGAACCACGTCCACAAAGACCTCGTCCTGTCAGTGCTCCCGAGAAGAAATCTGAGAGCGTACCGGTCTCTGAAGAACACATTGTAAATGGAACAACATAGATTATAAAATTTTTGGACTCTTTGTAAAGTGCTAGGTATTGAAAGGCTATGGGAACATTTGCATGCCTTTTAACCTGCACGCACATATACATCCTGCTGCCATTATCCCATTGAAACCATTCAATATATAGCATTCTTTTTCCCTTCCAAAAATTTGTTTGCAGTTGTTTTAATTTATAATGATTCTAACAATACAAAAATTGATTTAGATATAAATATAGCTTTCTTGGAAAATGACAGCAGACTAAATAGTAGGTGTTGACAAATATTAAAATACACTAAGTTACTATTACCTTGCTGTACATTTTGATGTTACTCAAGGAAGACTAACCTCCCAAATTTTGCACCATAGTCATGGATTTTACAAATAGAAGTTTTGCAGACAATAACATGGGATATTCCCTGCTCAAAAGAATAAATTGCATATCTGAATAGTTGCTGAACGTTTAGGAATTATCTTCAAAATTTTTTATAATCATTGTTTAAAAGCACAGTTTTATTATTTAGGTAAGAACCATTACCTGATGTGGTAGCTTGCGTTTCCATGTTTTTTTTTCTACTACTTAGAAAGGTGCCTTGTGATGTAAATATACACACACCTGAAGTCTTAGTTGCATTATTTATTTGTTTTATTATAATTTTTTGTTTTTTTTTTTTTTGTCGATATAAGTGTTTGTGCAATTTTGAGAACTTAAAAAAACCTCAACCAATGAGTACATTTTTCTTGCCGGACGAACATCGTGTAACTTTTTTTTCCAGTCTTTGACCAAATTACAAATAAAATGATTTTTTAAATGGCAAGTTCCTAGTTTGTGGCTTCTGAAACAATAATGTTACCAAAAAACAGAAGAAAGAACTAGCAGATTGTTTGAGCTGACTGACTTAAAAAGCCTTTTCAGTACTCATGGCTAAACAATTAAAAAAAAAAAAAAAATTGGCAGCAAAGGTATTGTCCTTTATATACCTTGCTGTGCTGTGACTTTTTCAAACTGACAATTGAACTAATGCTGTATCATTTATTTGTGGCAATAAACTCTCCCATACGAATTTGGGAGCAAGTTAAGTCAGTGTCTAGTTATTCTCTTACTTGAAACAACACTTCGACAAATTAATGTTGCACGCTTTAAATTTATTAGACATGTGTGACAAAATGTTGCAATTTATCATTTGTAATTGCCACGAATAATGAAAGACATCCAAATAGTTTTCATATAATTTTTGCAATCAAAATTAACTTTTAAATCATTTCTTAACAAAATCTTTATACACAATAACTTGTTACACTCAGATTCCTGATTATCTTTTGTATATTCAGTCATGGGTTTTAAATTATATTCATAATTTTATATTAAAGAATCAAGTAGTCACTTTTTATGAATTAATAAATGCAATTTTGTTGGAAAAAATATTCAAGATTTATAACAAAATTTTTTCCAACAAAATTTGGAATAAAATAGAAAATACACCAACAGATTGAAACAAAAGAAGAAATTGATTTAATAGAATTCGTATACACGAGTAATTATTTCGAAGTCAACAATAAGTTCTATACACAACAAACAGGCATAAGCATGGGATCAGTCATAGGCCTAACTAAAGCTAGCAGAACTTGTTATGGTAAATATAGATCAAACAATCAAAAAAATTACAGGCATAAAGTTTTATAAACAATATGTGGATGACATAATTATACTATATGACCAAGAAATAATAAAATTAGAAGAAATAGAAGAAAAAATAAATTTAATATCATCGTTTAATTTGTTTAAGGTAGAAAATGAGGCAAACACGGAAATAAATTATCTCGACATTAAAATAACCAGAAAGGCAAAGAAGATTGAATTCGAGCCATACACAAACCCATGCGAGATTAGAAAGGTGTTAAACTACAATTCAAACATCCCACAGTACATAAAAGAAAATATATTCAACATGAAGTATGAAAAAACGTGAACAGAACAAGCTCACTACAGAAAAAGAAAAAAACATCTTAACTAACTGCGTACTAAATTCCTATTAAACGGCTATCTACAACGAATAATAAATAACTGGGAAAGCAGTGGCGTAGCGTGGGTGTCAGCCTCCCGGGGCGGAGGAAAATTTCGCCTCCCTTATTTGGATATCTCAATTTAAAAGACTAAAATTCAGTTTCGTCATAGAATAACTAGTGAAAAATTCCGTGCTAGTGTTGTGTTGCCACCTTTTTAAAATCGCCCGGACGGCAGGTGAGGTTTGTTCGAATAGAAGTTCCTGACGCATGCGTATGTCATTTTGCAATGCGAAGAATAATGTGCAGTGCATGTTGGTTCTAAATCAGTTACAGTTAGCGGCTAGGGAGACTTGGATAGGATAACGCAAGTGACCTAGCTCTATTGGATATTGGAGGTGTATATATATACGAATAAATCGTACAAGCAAAACAAAAAAAATCCATTCGCGTCCTAGGCC